CTTTGGTAACTGTTAGTTCATTCTTGGGTTCTGTGATTCTGCTGCTGTTTTGTTCCTTCAGTTTTCCTTTGTTCTTATACTCCACATATGAGTGAGATCATTTCGTACTTGTCTTTTTCTGCCTGGCTTATTTCACTGAGCATAATACCCTCTAGCTCCATCCATGCTGTTGCGAATGGTAGGATCTGTTTTTTTCTTATGGTTGAGTAATATTCCATTGTGTATATGTACCACATCTTCTTTATCCATTCATCTACCGATGGACATTTAGGTTGCTTCCATATCTTGGCTATTGTAAATAGTGCAGCGATAAACATAGGGGTGCATCTGTCTTTTCCAAACTGGAGTGCTGCATTCTTAGGGTAAATTCCTAGAAGTGGAATTCCTGGGTCAAATGGCATTTCTATTTTGAGCATTTTGAGGAACCTCCATACTACTTTCCACAATAGTTGAACTAATTTACATTCCCACCAGCAGTGTAGGAAGGTTCCCCTTTCTCCACAACCTCGCCAACATTTGTTGTTGTTTGTCTTTTAGATGATGGTGATCCTTACTGGTGTGAGGTTATATCGCATTGTGGTTTTAATTTGCATTTCTCTGATGACAAGCGATGTGGAGCATCTTTTCATGTGTCTGTTGGCCAAACCTATGCGTTTTTATAAGATATCTTTTGTACCCCTTTTTAAATTAGCAAAAATAAGATGTTTTAGTTTCATTTCATTTCTACAGTTTGTTAGCCCATATCAGTGTTACCAGGGGTGGGGGGAGGAACAAATTGTAAGATTATATGGACAATAGCTCTGCATGGATGGGATTGAGTTTAGCTTCAGTTTTTAATCTTACAGATACAGAATTGTTGAACATACAGGATTCACTGAATGTGAATTTGCCCAATCTCAGTAAAAACTCCTATTCTATTATAGGAGAATGGTCCATCGGTTGCTTTATTGACAAAATGAGATCACTGCTTAACATATATTTCAGGAATATGAAACGGTGACAAAAGAGGAAAACTGCAATCCTGAAGTCTGGGTGAACCTAGCCTGTACCTACTTTTTTCTTGGAATGTATAAAGAAGCTGAAGCAGCTGGATGTAAAGGTAAAATGAGCCCTTTTAATATCTGGTATTCACTATTAATAGAGTAATTTTGGAGGTCTTAAAACTTACCTAATTCCTTTTTCTATTGTGGAAAATGAAGTGACATTAGAAAGCTAAAAAATTGCTTTTACTCTGTAAAGAATATTGGATCTGACCAACTTTATTTATTTTTTTTAATTAAGGTATCATTGACATACAATCTATGCTCAGGTTTCACATGAGCAACATTGTGGTTACTACATTTCCCCCTATTATCAAGTCCCCACCACATACCCCATTACAGTCACTGTCCATCAGCGTAGTAAGATGAGCAACTTTATGTTTAAAGAGAGAGTTAATCTCTGTGCTGCTTCCCCTCTCCACCCCACCTCCCCAGAAGCTACAGCTGAAAAGCAGAAGGAGGAGAGAAGAAAAAGGGTCAGGTATCTTTCATAGGTCCCATCATGATAGGATATACTTGCTATTGGTAAGAGTTGGGTAGAGTTGTTCAAGCTCTTAGAGATACAGATTTTTACAGTTGCTTTCCTGTTTCTGAGTGAGAAGCCAAGTAATTTCAGTTCCTCCAGACTGCTTTCCTTTTGCTTTACTCATCATGACAGTCATCACACATCTGGGCTCAAATCTGCAAATAAGAATAGGGCAAAGAGAAAGTTTGGGAGGAAAGATTAGGAATAATTAAATATGGCTAGAATTAAATTCAAAGAAATGTAGAGAAAGTGGGCAAGGAAATGTTAGGAAATTTGTTAGGGAAGAATGTATTCCAGGAGAGAATTCTTAGAGAATTAACTGATACATACATATTTAGGAAAAATTCTAGTTCAAATTGATGGGAAATGTGGAACTTGAAGCCTTTCTTGATTTGTACCCAAATTGTTTCATGTGCACTAATAATCTATTTCTTCCTACTTTAGTTATAAGGGCCTTTAAATTTCTTTATCTCATGTTTCTAGACTTCATCTGTGCCCAGAACAGTATTAGACATATAAAAGGTAATCTCAGTAGCTATCTCTCATTCTGTATATATAAATTTTTTCATTTCATACATTGGTGGATGACTTTTTGCTGTTGAGAGATATAGGATTATGTGTACAGAATTAGGAAAATTCTCCAAGAGTGCCTAAGTGATTTGGAACTTGAAAGGTGTTAACCTGGTTTGGCTACCTGTCTCAGTGTGACGCACTATCATGCTAGAAAATGTATGGCCCAGAGGCTGGGCTGGTTAAGCATACACGGCAGTACAATTGTAGAAAAGGAGATTTCAGAAGGTTTTGACAATACTGAGAAGAACAGAAGTTGATTCCCTCACATATTGAGATGACTGTAGTGTTTATTTCCAGTGTTGGATTCAGTATAAGAGCACACGGCAGGGGGCTGCACTAGACCGGTGTGTGAGGATGGCTGTGCTGTGGGTCACCGTAACAGAATCAGGTAGAACAATGGTGGTGAAGAGCAGAACCTTAGAACATTTTTCTTCTGGTCCTTTATGCTGTTGCTGCTACTACAGGTGGTAACCAGACTAAAATAATATATGTTACAGAAAAGACATATCAGGATCAGATAGGTAAGAATTTAGGAAAATTTATCTGAGTCTCCTGTCATTCCTGCAAGGGACTAAGTGACATAGACAATTGAGTTCTTTAATAAGCAGCTTAGATATTTTATTTTTCAGCTCCAAAAAGCCGACTTCAAAACCGCCTCCTCTTCCATTTGGCTCACAAGGTATTTATATACTCATTTCACACATTTTGTTTTTAAGTATTTTTCTCTTCTTTCTTGTTACCAAAAATGGTGAAAGATATTTAACTAGAAATTTTTGTTAATATTTCTAGAACAAGTAGAATGCAGGTATTATTTGTACAGGATTTTTCCCCATCAATGTTCTTTACCCTATTAATTTATTCAGAGATATTACCTTTTAATTCTTCTTAAGCAGTAGTCATTCAAGAAGGTTAGTCTTGCGTATTCTATTGTGCCTTAGGAAGTAGAGTCAAAGACACCTTTGCTGACTCCTGGAAATAAATACACACTTTTCAGAATTGCCTTATAGCAATAATTCTGATCATCATAATAAAATGATTAAAAAAAATAATGTTTCATATTCCAAAACTTGCACATTAATTCTATTAAATAAAATATAAATAAATGGAAAACAATAACATCTACCATATTTAAATATAACTACATTTCAACCTTTTAGTATATTTTATCCTTTTTTAGGAT